TTATGGAGAAATTGCATACTATCTTGAAATTTTCTGTAGATTTATCAAAAGATAGAGAGAAGATAAATAAAGTTTGAATATTAGCGGAAGATTGGAGGAATTATCAGCCAGAACCTGCCCAAAAGGAGTCTGGTGAAAGGAGCCAAACAGACCACCACCAGTCATCCACATAGGGGCTGGTGAATTCACAGTGAGCAATCTGTGTGAGGAAGTAAAATTCTAGCGGGAGCAGACCCCTCTGCCGCACTGCACAGCCTTGCAGGTGCCTCTGCATACTCAAAGCGAACTTGCAGCTGCGGGGATCCTCCAGCAGGCGGAGCGGCCTTTCTTCCATGCTACACCAAACTGTACTTTCCCTGTTTTGACAGTTCCAGCGATCCTCTTCCCTAGTCGGGCAAATGTGAGTGCTTCTTCCACCACCAGCTAACCGCCAAAGAGGAGAAAGTATCCCTGGCCTCCTTCCATTTTGATTCAGAAGCACAGTTGTGGTTCCTCAAATTGGAGCATGGCTGGTCTTTTCTGTCTTGGGTAGAATTCAAGCAGTTCTGCCAACTGTGTTTAGGGCTGCCGTTATGGAGTAATAAGTTGGGAGAGTTGAGCAAATTGAGGCAAATCGGAAGTGTGACTAAGTACCAACACTGTAAAGGTTTGAAACCTTAAAAAAAATGAATTTATAATTTAAATGCGGAAGCGAATAATGACGTTAAGATTTACATTTCTTACATAATAAATTGAATTGCCCAATAAAGTCACGAAAATGTCCCTTTTACGTGGTTTATAAAAGACAAACAGTAATTAAAGAAAAACGAATAAATAAGTATTCTAAAACAATTTTCACTAGCATTTGAAGGGAGTTTGGAAGATGAAATACTCACAACCCTCTCGTTGATCGGGATCTATATCTTGGTTTTTTTATCTGAAATGGTTAATGAAAGGATGAGTTAAACTAATCAAGTAAGAATATCATACTAATTACTGATACAAAAAACCAAAGATTAGTAAAAATCAGAAAACAACTAATGAGCACTTGTTTTAAGTAAATACATTTAATTTTAAAACTTTTTATTCGATACTTACTGTTACAGTTTTTCTCAAAATCAACTTATAAAGACAATTAACCAAATGACATTTCAATTTCATGCATAGTATCAACAATATTTCCTTTTTAACCTATTTATTGGGACACATGGGGGTTCATAGGAATATCCCTCTACTTGTGAGCCCAATATCAAGATTTGACAATTAATCTGACTGTCTTCATACCCTATTCGGTAATGGGCACCAAAAAACACAATCGCCTTGATACCTAGTCTGATATGAAAGTGAACCATATCTTCTAAAACCTTTCCGCTCTGGGATTTGTCAGCCCCGTTCGACTGAGTTAATGTCCACTGTAGGGTTCTCTATGTATTTAGTCCGTTCACCATTTCCCAGGATGCTTAGTAAACTTTCATTTATTTAGATTCTCACCATGTAAACAACCATTAAAGCATAC